CAAGCAGCATGAGACCACGCCTTAAATATGCTCTTCTGACACGTTCGCTCGTTCATTGTCTGAACACAGATGTGTGCCTGTGCTTGTGCGTGGTTTGTAAATTGACTAAACTACTTCAAACAACTCTTCTCCAGCACCGGTTTGTCCTATTGCGTATGCATTTGTCGCTTATATCCATTTTCGCGACATGTGTTTCATTTTAATCAGGTGAAAAAAATACAAAGCATTTTTTTCAAGGAATGCGGGATCAATCAAAACATGGTACATACTACGAAGGAAATGGCATTGTCAGCGTGATTGGAATGCAAACGTTCGATTGAACATGCTAAATAATCCATTCAATGATTACCGTGATAACGGAGTACGGGGAATTTGTATTACATTGTGTAGCACACACGTTTAGTGCGGACTGTGTTACACAAATCACAGTTAAATAGTCGTTATAACAAAGGAAATTTCCGTGATTTGTTAGAAGAGGAATACATTAATCAGACAAGAGCAGAAGTTCCTTGAAGAGCTCACAGCCGAGGGTTTCGGTTAGCCAAGATAGACCAACACGACAGTGTGTGAAAGCCACAGTTTAATGGTACTGGTGTCCAATTCATCGGATCGTGTACCCTTCGTAAGAGGTGAAATATCCAATTTATCCAAGACACCTCCATGCCATATCGAGCTGGTAAACAGTGTCACAACAAGGTTTGTGGTTCTTACACCTATTCCTGACCGAGCTGGAATCGGAGATTTTGGACAACGCCCCTAGACAAACTGCCCGTGTTCCACCTATCCAGCTATAGTGGACTTTTCATGCTCTGACGTTGGTGGTAACAGCAGTCAGTGAGGCTTCCTCAGCAGAAAATATTTGAGGGGCGTACTCGTACACGAGCATTTTGCGAGATTATCAGGGAAAGGTAATCAGCCAGTCACAACATACAGAACGATATATATATATATACATATATAATCTGTTTATTTTTTGCCGATAATCTCATTTAATCATACGCGCAAAACCTTTTGCCAATTACTTAAAGAGGAATTCGGTTTACAGACTGTGACTTGACATTTCGACTGAAACATAAGTTACTTGAATATTTTATATTGTATTACATTGTATCATCGATGACTTGTGTCTACATTTCAGTCTAGAGACGCGTTCACCGTTACAATTGGATAAAAAATGAACTGAAAATTCATGTGACAGTGATGAAACCTAAGCAGGTGTTCACCTTTACAGGTTTAAAATTAGCTCGTTACAGATCCTCACCGTGTCAATGAGAATAAGAGCCAGATGGCGAACCGTTGAGTTGTGATGAATGTCTACGCGTGACGGGAAGCAGCGAAAATTGGATCGGGTTGAAGTGTGGGAACGGCAAGCAAATTAATCGGGATTCAGTGGATGACTGGGGTAATTGAGTGTCTTATGAGCCACAAATTAGCATTTACTATGATGATTTCGTCGTGTAAATGAGGCGTGCGCTGAAAAGCTGGGGCTCATTGCACAGCTCTTTTTACTGGTCGGGTCTCATCAGCTGTGTGAATCCATCCACCCAACTGGGGATTGAAACCGAGACCTCACATATAGAACGCTAGCATACTACCCACTCGCCCACCAGGCAGCTGATCAGACAGTTTCTTATTTTGGATATACACGGTATAACACAACCCATTTGTAATTAAATGCAATAGATGCCTGAACGAAGGTGTTCCTGATACGTTCAATAGTTGCTTAACTGAAGCATGTATTAGTAATGCGATTGGTACAACCGATTGAAGTCAATTACCATTTTCATGTAACATAGAGGTTAAACCTTATTTAAGTCATGATTGTGGTAAAACAGGAACCTCAAAGTGGGGTTCATACTGGAAACTGATAAAATCACTCATTTTTCTATCGCTAGTTATGGTTCATACATAATCAATGTACGGAACCGAGATAACTACGGCCGGGAAACGGCAATTAAACCATTTGCCCCTGTATCTTTTTTCTATCCACAGTTTAGAGAACCGAACCGTGAAATCACTCTCAGACTTGACAGTAAATCGACATGTGTGCCATTGTTTGTCTCTGATGTGTTGAACATATGAGACCTTGCTCTCTTAGGAAGTCGACTCTCGGGATCCGCTACCTCGCATTCGTCACTTAGTACTCTTTCTCGGGTAGCCGTATTGATAAACTGATTAGGACTGTGGTTTCGAACGACAGAATTGATGGCCGTATTTTGTTGGTTTCAGTTTGCCTGGAGCCTGTCATTTCACAATTCGAATCATGTCGTCTATTCGTCAGAACTACCTTATTACATTTGGAATATTTTGATCAGTGTGACGGACTAGGATCAATTACGGTTACATACTGACAGACGAGTATTCTGATACTGAACAGAGTAAAATAGCTTGAACGAAACAAGCGATGACTTGCAAAGAAAGATTGGTCACAAACTAGCATCCATGATACTCCGAGGGACATTGACGGTGATCATTTAATATCACGTGAAATCCCCAATGTTGAGTGAAACGGAAGCACGAGTTAAACTTTTGGGAACTGAAAATTTTGTTTCATTGAATTTATATATTTTTTAGATCGAGCGTATTATCTGAGTGATCAGACACGACGAAACCACGATGAACACTCGTAATCGTCGCATTCTCTCTTCCGATTTGCACCTATTGCATGATGGAATACACTTTCTTCATCTGATTAACTGCCTGAGTAAATGCCATCACATCGCACCTTGAACCATATTGTTCTCACGTGCGATCCTCAGTGCTCCGTGTTCTGATAAACTTACAGACAACATTGAAAATACCCCGTCATCTAGTTTCAATTTACTGACTGCGGAGCTGTTCGGAGTAGTCTTCGTTCAGCTTGTTTTCGCAAATTCTCAGCTTATCACACAGTTCAGTGCATCAGGCTTTATTGAAACTGGGCTGCACCATTTTCAATAAAGAGCAAGTGAATAAAATTATGTTAGAGAAGATCAGCTCCACATGCGTTTGTACTACATACTATACTGAATTGGTACTTTTGCTACAGCTGAGTAGATAATTGACTCGGAAAGCCACGTGCATTGAACTGTTGCCTATATCGGACTGAACTGATGCATGTCTAATAGAATGGCAGAATTCAGGACCATATTTGATGCTTGAATTTTACTGGAAACTACTGAAGTCTGGAAAATTTGCACGGCTTAGTGTTGTTCAACTCACCTCCAAGGGAAAAATGATCGGAAGTCATAGAGGTTGACATCTCATTCTACAAAATTGACTATGTTATTCAAATAATGGTAAGAAATAGTACAAGTTGTCTATTGCTCTAAGTTGTATTCAAGCATATTTCTGACCAATAAAATAATCTGAGTCCAGTGTGTGCATTCTGCACGTGAAGTCCGGGCTGAACCAAACAAGTTTATCATTGACTTTACGTTGCTGCTGAGATCCAACAAGGTGCTAACATCTGTAGGATACTTCCCAGATTTTCCACTAATTTTTCCTATGGAATGCCTAGAGGTGATTTTAGTAGTGCGTATTGCGCCTGAGGCGTCCTTCAAGGGCGCTTCCAATGTGCGGAAACTAGAAGTACAGTGTACGTATTACAACACGGTTTGGTGACCTTACAACTAGTGTTTCAAATTCAGGAAAAATTGATCGAATGAAAGTTCTTTACTGAAAAATATTTAAAGCTTGAATGAAAAAATAAGATCCGTCAAATTATTTACTCAAAATGCTCAAAGTTTTAAAACTTGAAAAGAATTTTGGTTCTTTTGGAAGTTCCAAATCTGGAAATAATTGAACTCGAATAACGCGTCATGCTATGATAAAACAAACAAACAGTTTATTTATCAATTTGTCCGTTGACTCGGGAATTTATTGCTCTGTCATCTATCGTCAGAATACCACATGACAATGCCTCTCGTGATACACTCAGTACATTGCTCACTGATTACAGCTGCCTGTGTTTGGAGAAACTCACTGAAATCAGGTTTCAGATAGATGTATTTTGTAACTATCCACGCTTGTACGGTTCTCATTTGATACGGCACTAGATGTCAGCATTCCAAGCCATATAAATCATTATCAAGGCAACACACATGATCGAAATGAATGTACGTCTCCAGTATGTTTCGAAAATTCGTAGAACACCTTAACATTTCACGTGGATAAGCCCCTTTTGTGAAAAAACATTAACACATCGTGTATTTACTGCATTTTAATCAGTAGTAGACCAGGAGCGAATTTTAAATAAAATATGTGCAAAACTCCATTGCGCATCGACAGATGACGGCAACACCTTGGCTGGTGACGAAACGTTTGCAACGAAACTGCCAAGTTTCGAGAACAGGTGAAATGGAATTCAGTTCACCCGAGTTACGAGAACCGATTTTCAATAATCTCTCGACATGAGAGAATTATATATCAATCCACCTTATGAGCAAAGTTGAAGGTTTGGTTTAGAGCTTTCTGTCGTGAAAACGCTAAAACAAAACAATTTAGTAATATCTTCTAGCTTCTCAGCTTTATCTCAGTCGCGAAAATCTATGTTTTGATATTTGTTTTTATGAGATGTCCGAATTTCCCGCAGGATTCCTTTGGAAGTACTTCTTATCTTCTATGTTTCTTCAATTTATCCTCAGCAATAAAGTCGAACAGCGGTCCTATTTGCATGTACTCCCATGAGTGTCAAACACTTGGAAGATTTTCATCCCTTTCAAATGATTTCTTCTTTTACTGCTCTAGGAGGCACTTAATTATCGATATTTATTTTTTATGTTCACATGTTGAATGCGAGCTTCTTTATACATATCTGCACGAGGTATTCATCATCACTGTCACGAATTCCTTATAAATTAGATTAATAAAATAATGACTTTATAGATGTTTCAGGGGGTGATGGGATGTTATTGCCTTCCAACATAGGAGGTTTATTGACAGTTGACTATCACTGTTTTGGTAGGTCGTTTTGAGTCGGATAGAATGTGAAGTATAGTCTATCTTCAGTGCAGCTAATGAAGCTAAGAATAAGTCATACCGTCAAATTTACTATATGAATTTTTGGGATGACACTCCTTGAATGGATTCATACCCTAAAATCATTCGTATCACATCTGACCGATACAACAATCGGGGAACAATGATGGTCGGAGGCTTAAAACGCTTCGATAGAACGAAGTATAATTCATAGTAAGAGAATTGATTTTGATTGGCGCCTAAGTGATTGTCCTGAATAGTTAAAATTCCAAGGAATGAGACTGACAATCAATGAAGTGAGATAGACTTCAAACGTCTTTCGAGGGAAATCTTCTCTATAACAAAAAATTTTATTTCATTATTTGCGAAACGATAGATGTTTTTTTGTTGCGAAGGTCTGATTTGTCTCGTTTTCTCTATCTTTTTCTTATCAGTGACGAAGCCGGCAGAATTAGGCAATCTGTTTTGAAAAATCTCATCTAAGGTAGTGTTGAAACAAATACCAATTTTGATTGAATCCAACTGAGTATTCTTCGGACTTTATCTTCACGCGTAATTCTCAGTTCATCGATTCAACCTTACACTGGGAAGCGCTAGATTCGATTTTCGCTGTTATTATAGCTCATCAGCAGTGCATATCTACCGTCCCGTTCGGAATTTGAACTCCGGACCCATTGCATCCGGGTGTATGGTTGAATCGATGAACTGAGGATTGTGCGTGAAGGTTAAGTTCGAAGGGTAATCAGCTGAAATTAATCAATATCGATTATCCCACACCACTGCTCACAATTAACTGTAGGTTAAATAGGAATTACCAAATTTTTGATGTACAAATTGTTCCCAATGGTTGTTATCTATGCAGGATCAGGAAAGGGAAGCCCGTCATTCATTGAAACTACGTTAGATATAACTTGAGAAAACCCAGAAAAAAATAACAGAGAACTTTCCCAAGAATTAAATGCAGTATAAACAAACTCACTGGTGAATGTGAAATAATTCGAAGGAATTGACAAATCTTACTATCACACGTCTAATGTGCAGTTTGCATCACATGGTTTATATCACCTTTTTAGCAGAAAATCGATAAATATATGCTGGTTTCCTAATTATAAAAGGGGTCTTTTGGGGGTTCAAACCGATGTATTCACGGTACCAACACTTGCGCTAACACCTGAGTTTTCAGTTCCGGTTGACACATTTAGTTTTTCATATTTAACCAAACCATAGGATACAATAGAATGCTGATCTGCATGACCACAAAGTGGTTAGTGCAATGTAGACGTTGTGATAGAAGGGAATAACAATGTATATTTATATCGTTAGCAATTTGAATGGTACTGGAAAAAGACGCTCCGCCAAACTGTTCGTGAATGAGCTTAAATGTGGGGGGGGGGGANGGAATGAAGTAATTTGACAACTGCTTGTGACAAACTAAGTCACATCGGAAGTGCAGCAATCAGACAGCACTGAAAAGGTATATCATCTAGAATACGATGCTGACTGGCTATTACGGATGGGGTTGAATCACAAATTTGGCCAGGGATTCATTCATCTCCATATTATCTGTGAGGTCCGATCTCATATTGACCATACGGGTACGCAGTGTTTCGTGAGGCCTGACACCGGGAAAAGACATTGGCAATAGGCCAAAATCACGTGCTTCGGGAATTGAAGTTTTTGTGTAAGAAGATGCGGTTGTCACCGTTTCAGTCAAGGACTTATGCGGTCCATTTGGACAACTGGGTGCGTTAAACAGCGATGCCAGTTGACTATAAAAATCTGTCGATCCAATAAGAGGAGGCAGCAATGATGAACTACTAGGAAATAAATTTCCCGAATCAGTGTGGGAAACACAACCGGTTTCAATGACACTGTTCCGCGGTAAGTTTCGTAATGTGGCTAGAGCAGGCAATAACCAAGGTGTTGCTACTGCGAGACGAAGATCATGTAATTTTCCGAGACCTTGTGTTCGTGTCAAATCAGGTGTTCCACCCGAGTTAGAGTATTTCACTGTTTGCTCGTCTGAAGCGGAGCAGGCAATTAGTGCGTTGTCCGGAACACTTGTCTTTGTCACGTGACTGACTCGAGGAAAATAGCTTCTTTTGAATGAATGTGAACCATTCAGTCGATGTCGCCGGAAACTATCAAATCCGCGTCTGCTGGGTCTGTATAATTGCTGTGTTTGTGTGTGACATTTTGTGAGATATTCTGCCGAACCGAGATTCGTAGATAAGAGACTGTCACTTGTTCCGTTGTCTTTTTCACCAGCTGACTGTTTTGTTGTTATACACGGTGGATTGGCTGAAATCGTGATTTTTCCGTCCAATTGTGAAATCATTGAACACCCGACTGACTCGTGCTCCATATTAGTGCTAAATGAACGACCATCCACTGGGCTTGGATTCTCAGTCAACTTGTTCGGAACGCAAATGTGTGAAATTCGCATCTGGGAAGAATTCCTCGGTTGTCGTTCATTTTGTACGGCTGGAAGGAAAATGTCAGAAGATTATCATCGGTAGAATTTGATAGAAATGAATTATCTAACTTATCCAAGTAACAATCAATGACGTAGAGCATTCTCTAATGGATGCTACAGATTTTATCATGCAAAATTAGGGGGAAGGGAGGTAACTAAGACCTACTCATCAGTTGTTCTCCTTTACAGTGTTGTTATAAGTTCAACTGTCTGAAATCTACACCATTAAAGGACTGTGAAACAATGTGACAAAATACCGTAAATAACTGAATTAAAATCACGTTGTAGCATATGATTTTTTTATCTACTAAAAGCCTAGGGCCTTGAACAAGGGAAACTGCAAGATAGTTTGTTATTAGGTTGAACACATAAGTGTCAAATATTGATTACTATGCACTTAAAGTTGTAGAGTGTAAACCTGCGAATCTCTCTTTGAATAAATATAATTAGTTCATATTCCACCTCACTTACCATCCTTGTTCATTCCCATGCGTATGCACTTTTTCAACCGACAGGCTTGACATTGATTCCGATGGGCTTTATCAATCACACACATTCCGGTTCCTGCCTGGCATCTATGAGACAAGAAGAAACGTGATTTGAATCCATGCATAATGCAAGCAAACCATTTTGAAACGGTCTTGGCTAATCCGATTCACCAATAGTCGTGAAAACCTTCAGTTGAACAAGTTAGTGATAATCAAACGGAGTTTTGTGGCATCATTAACACAATGATGAACTTTGCTTTTTTGTTAGAAATGTACAACGTTCTAGGAGAGAAATCAAGAATAAGGGGGAAACCAGCATTGAGATTGACGCTGTATTACTTGAAATTGTTTCATGGAAACCCTCCTGAACTCACATACGTTACAAATACTTACGAGGGATATAAAAACTGAATGAATTTGCTGACAACAGAAACCATGAAGTAGATCTCAGTCTAGGTACAGGGATTCAGCAAAAATCTGCAATATTGTGTGCTAAAATCAAGACGGGTAAAAGATTTATACTGTTTATACGATGTTGGGTAAATGCTTCACTCGCCAATTGAGAGCCTAAGCAGCATGAAACAAATGTTCATTCATTGCATTTAGCTATCCGGACAGACGGAATTCACCGCAATTCGAACGTAGACACGGGGAGTTGTTGTCATTCCAACACCTTAACCGGAAAGCTTACCGGAAATGACTCTCTGAAGCCAGATTTACATCAGCAATTTATGAAATAGCACTCAGTCATCTGTCATTGGACACCCTGAAGTTCGTCTTTCAAATGAATTGCAAGCAAAAATTCATGGAAGGACAAGGCTGACTTTGTGGCGTCAGTGGTCCATCAGGAGCATGTATCCGGTATTCTTGTATCAAGTCATTCTTGTAATTGTGCTTAATATAGGAATTTCACCGAAAAATACTCACCTGCATATCAGATAGTTAGCTCAAGTCAAGAAAAGCTTGAATATTTACTACCATGACTCTGCGAGAATGTTTTGGGGTTTAGGGGTTCCCAGTCTCAGGTATCTTGGTATTAGGATAATGGTTTGTGGATGCGGAAAGGACATCTCTGAATTCGATCTCATGATCCAGCCTATCCAGGTTAGAGGTATAAAAGTGTACAAACCTTTACCACATATTCATTCTAACGACTCTTTAAAGTTAACTTATCTTGAAATAAATCCCTGATATGTTGATGGGAACATTGCTGTGTAAAGTGCCTTTCTATCTGCCACATTTTCACTCGTTGTGCTAACGGTATGATTGTCGACCAAAGTTAATTCTTTCGGAAGTGTCAATGATAACGGTTACCATATGTGAAGCAATAACCCATATAAAAGAGATAAGATTGCAACAAAGTTTGCAGGTGTGAAACGTAGCTTTGTTTCTGTTTGATTCGTTGTCATCAAATGAGTAAATGTACCCGTAATTATATCGGAGTACGAAATATCCAGTCAGTAATTCTGGTGGTAAAAGATCATCTGATAATACTGTTATTGTTACTGGTTTTCTGATTCTAATAATTTTATTTTATGATCGTCAAAGTACTAGGTACCCGCATGAGGTAACTACAGAGTTCACGGTTGGGACGGAAAATGCAAGGCACGTTTTGTTTCTTAAAGAAAACTTTAGGATAAAGAAGGGCAAATTCATCTCAGCCAATGAAGAAGGGTTTACGTTCTCAGAACCTTGGGTTTAGTTCCAAAATGTAAATGGGTTCAGAATATAACTGACGGTATTGACGACCAATATCGTTCGTAAAAATAACTGTTATTCCCTGGGTACACATGCGGAGCAAATGACATTAATTAGCAAATATACGGATCCATAGAAAACATTCTTAATGCAACCGTACGTTTAAACATGAGACCTACCGGTAGATGAGTTTACGCCTAACAGACCGCTTGAAAAATCCGCTACACCCGTTGCAGGCGAGGATTCCGTAATGCTTTCCACTACTCACATCGCCGCACACGGAACAGTACAGCCCGTTCGGGTTGTCTTTGCGACACTCGTTCAACTCGTTTACGTAATCACCACAGTGTGCGGATGCCCCGTCAGTGGACAGTGTAGCGCCAGCGATGGGACCATTTAAACTCACCGTCGTATTGTGTATTGAACCGGTAATTGCATTAGGTTTGACCCATGTGTCACCGGTCAGCTTAAAGCTGTTCGAACGCAGACTATGCATCAACTGGCTGTATCCTTGAGTCATCAAACTGTGCCATGTTTGAGCCAAATTGTTGTCTGTTGTCTGATTTTGTGTTCCGTTTGTGTAACCGTGCTCCGCCTCCGATCCAATTAGGGAAGATATGAAGAACTGGGTGGCAGCTTTACTGACTGCGCTCATTTGGGAGGAATTCAGTGGATTGGTCCATTCACAAGTGTCGGGTAGCCATGGACGAGCGCTGTCAACTCGGTTGGCATAAACCATGGGAGACAGATTCATCATACACGACGATGAACCGGGTGAGGTGTTCAGCTCACGTGTGGACAACTCTCGAGTAGATATTCCCGTTTCAGATGAGAACCCTGTATTTCCTACGCGAGCAAATGCAGTCGTTTGTGTAGATTCCTGGGTAAAATGAGCCATTGTTTGTTAAATCCAGGAACTGTAAATAGGCGTATTGGATTAAGACTCAATGGATTGCACTTTGTGAGAAAATATTTTATCCATTAATAAATGAATACAGTTTCGTCAACCTGATAGTGCGTAAAGAATTCCAAGATGGAAATGAATATCAACAGTGGACCACGTGTTTTTTTTGAAAAAAAGGAACGTAACCTCACAGTAAAAATTGAATATGACCTCCGGTGCTATGCTTGAATGATTCACTGAATCGTTCAAGTTACTGCTAACTTACTGAAGTTTTCAATAATGCTGTATTATTAGATTAGAGATACAGAAACTTTTATCATTCCACACAGTTTCTTTAGGGACTCAATGCTTTTGGTGGTTACACCAGTGCCTAGAAAAGAGTTCATTAGGTAGTGGAACTAAAAACAGGCACTCATGACAAGGACAACTAAGTAGTTAGACGTTTTGAGGATTCATTGATTTTATACAGGTGAACGATAGTCAGGCGGATTTCTATTGAAATAGTTAACGCATACGTGGGTCAAACACAAATTACCACCAAAAACTGTGAAACGTTTAGCTTACCGCATTTATCATAACCTCCGGATGCTAATGTTGAGATGAGTGAAACGCGATGTCCGCAACAAGCTCATAAAGATGGGTTGTGCTATATCAAATAAAAAATGAGCAACGATCTGCTCAGCTGCCTCATTTTCCTTCATTTTCTTCCTTTTGTGCAATTTTTAGTGAAGGGAAGCGGCCAATCCAAAGGGCCGATGGATCCGTACTGCTGATTAGACCAAACCAGATAGAAGCAGATGTACAGGCTTTTCAGTTCACTCTCTATTTGCTCTAGACACTACTGATTCCTTCTATGAAATTGAATAAAACCCTCTATTACTCACCTGCAGCAGGGTCATTCGCTTAAGACAATGTATACACTAATAACTACCAAGATTGTGCCGGGATTAAATTGATCAGTATGAACCTGATTCGCGTGGGGATTTCATTCTTGCAAACAATTTAGACCAATAGTTGAATCATTATTGTTTGCAAACTTGAATGAGAATGTGGAAGCACAATGACTTCACGGTTGTTAGCAAATGCCTGAAGCAAATTCAGCAAGTGCAATATTATCCGCGAAGGTTTCGAATTATGTTTTCTTTGAGAACGGGCTATCACAGTTATGCTTTATATGGTAGCATTCAGCTAGTAAAGAATAGATTTAACTTATCGACATTGACCACCGTGATTGCAACCACAGCTTTCCGTATAACCATAAAGCAGAAAATATCGCGTCTAATTACGGCATGAAAATTAATTGTTAATGGTGAACCAAAATAAGGATACCTATTTTATTTTTTGCCTTATTCTGATGCTCTTGAAAACTCAAACAACAGATACCCATCTACATGTGACTTATTTTTCCATTATTCTGTAATTCATTGCTTCTTTATAGTCTGTATTTGGGAAGGTTCTTCGTTGACAATCTACCTGCGGTCTACTTCCTATAAATATTGGTAGTACCGGGGGAATATTTAGTGACAGATGTTGTAATTCCGCAGCTTTGAGTATCCCCACCACTGTTAAAAATGGGCAGTGGATAACTTCGCTATCCTCCAGGTGAACACCAATCCCAACCTACTGGAATACTGTCACTCTCCACTCCAAACCCAGTGATTTTGATTCCCGAATTTCATAACTTGAATGATGATCCATCGTGATGATACGGTCCAATCATTTCACCGGTTAGTCATCATGATTCGCGAACGCAAAATTATAATACATTTTTAAATCATGTAGCCATTTCTATTTTGAGTTTGAAGTTGCTAGAATAGGAATTATACAATCATAAACATGATGAAATTGTAAACATACACATTTCTGCCACTCTTCGCTAATTTGGAGAAAGGAAAATTCTATGAAAATATCACAAGTGGTCTTGTTTTCTTGAACGAAATCTGCACCTGGTTATTTGACGAATCACCAGAGTATATCACTTAGCCCCTAATTTTTATCCGCTCCATTTATTTGGTCATATGGATTCTCGCTACTGGAATGACGATGGTTAACTGTGGTTTGCATCACGGGCCAGCTGTGTATCATATGTGATCCGTTCAACCGATTTAAGCCGCATATCGGAATGTGCGGTTGAATGGTTCTACCATGATTGACCCCCTTCCACCACGCAGGAGCATACATGCGTTCGAATGTGTGGTTGTCATGGCTTGCTTATCAGCCCTTGACTCAAGTTAAGCACCGGTTGCAATAGAGTGGAAAATGGCATAATCCGAAATACGGTTGAGAGGACTTATTCGTCAAGTGGTTACCCTAATGCCGTATGTAAGAGGTGGGAAAGAAACGTACATCAATAGAGGCAGTTTCAATTTCGCCAAGTCAGATTTATTTTTTCATTACACGGTATTCAGTAAGTTAAATTTCGTGATCACATCTAAAGTGATTCAGCGTCTGAGTGTGCCAAGATACGTTGATCATATTTTTCATGCCAACTGAATTTACAAGCTTCTGTACCCAAAAACCCGAAATGATGCTTCAATTTGCAAGAAACTAACCAGCAAACCGATTTCACACATTCTTCATGGCGGCTCAGAAGGAATTAAGATTGTCGTCGCCATTAGTTACGTACTTTTGACGTTAAGTAGAGATTATACCTCTAAGTATTATATTCCCTAAAGACACCATACAAACAAACGATTGATGGATAAAAGCATTTTAAAATAAATTTCTTCATCATTGGTTAATTTGCTGAACCCACTGGCATTGCGTATGTTCAATGCACACCCCACATTAACAGCCCTAATTTTACAAGTCTATCGAGCATCGAACTTTTAGGAATGCGCACTGATAACTAGATGGTGGATCTCAGTTGGCGAGGAGGCACTTTAGAACATTCAGGTTTAGAGGGAAACGGTGTCCTATTTAACTTGAGTGATGACAGATGTAACTGCTCATAACCAATGAAGAATGCTGTTTACGTTTTAGGTCAATTGCTCGCCTTACCATGAATAAAAGATGAGTGACATTTCTGTTTGACGCCTAATGAAATTCAAGGAGTACTATATATTTGCGATTAACAACATAATGTAGCATGAACACTCTTCTGATACTATATTTTAAGTGTTATTCAAGGAAGTCGGAGAAAATGAATATCTCTGTCTCGAAGTATGACGGCAACCATGAGCAACTGAAGAACAAAGTATCATTTCGTACCTTTGGTCTCATACAAACTACTTTAACATTTTGCCACTGAGTCTCATGACACCACAAATCTCGAAATATCACTAATCGATTTGCATCAGGCTCACACTATGCGAATTGAAAAAGGTTGAAACGATGCGTGAAATAACTCAGTCAGCATGAATCATTTTCTTGTCACAACGTGAAATGTCCGTGTTGGTTGTTTGGTTGTGAATATGCGGTGGAAATCACTGTAACAACTGAACGAGCCACTCTGATCAGCGAATCTTTCGCAGTTAGACCACGTATTGTCAAATGTGCCAGATGCAAAATATTGGTTATTGAACGACTAATAATGTTGCGCTTGCATCAAAGCTGTAATTACTTTGCTAGGGTTTGGCAAGGTGACCTGCCTGTCCCGGTGAAACCTGAGATTTACTCAAACTCAGGATATTTTTCATTTAATCGACCCAAACACATCATGTTCCATTTGCGAGATCTTTCCTCAGACACAACTGCCTTGCTTATAGAGTCTCTTAAGGTGGTTACCGGCTGTTTTCCTTTAAACACAGCCTACTTGTACAATATGACATTTCTAACAGAAGTGTTAAACTGTTTTTGACATTTACTGTCCTGTGATAACTTTGTTCCTTCAACATGGCAGAAAATTAACACCTTTTCTAAAACGTCCTCACCCAAAAGGAACGTGCATTTAAATGTGGCCGGAGCACAGAAATGCAATGATCATCGTTTCTGATTAAATGTGAAATACGACTGTTGGACGCCCTTTATGCAAGTCAGTTTTTTGAGACGAGGAACTGTAAATCTATGTGGCGTGGAACCAATCTACTCTGCAGGCAGAATAAATTGATTTTCAGTCCTTCTACTGATATTGAAAAACTGAATGCTCCATTTATTCATTCTTCGCCCGACACATACCCCAGTTACGTTGATTCCACCTCTCCAAACATCAAACCTTCGTTTGATCCCATCACACACACACATGTTCTCTCAACCTCGACCGCACCTGGTCCAGACAACTTAAGTCCCACCCTTTTTAAACACGGTGCTCTGCCACTGTCTCAGATTTTTGCACACATAGCTAATCTTTCACTCGAACTCCGAACTATTCCGGACTGCCGACGCCCAGTGAGAATTACTCCCATTCTCAAAGGAACATCAAAGACCCCAATAATGAAGCGTTTCAGATCAATTGTTGTGGTTTGAATTTGATGCGGTGATCAGTTCTGCATCGTCTTCAGTTTTCCCTTACCACCCTCGATGACACTTATCAGTTTGCATGCAAACAACCAGTCTACATTAGATGCCGTTTCTCCTCTAGTTCATTTCAACTGTAAGTTCCTTAACGAGATAGATATGTGCATTGTCTTTCTGGACTATTCTTCCGTTTTCGACTCGGTGCCCCGTTCTCTTTTACTTAACAAGCTCCCATCTTTTGGCTGTCCGGCTTCTCTTCTTGAATGGCTTGCTGATTACGTTTTGCAAAAATATCAGTATGTTAAATTGGGAAGAAGACAGTCAGCCGCATCACTCCATAGCTCAGGTATACTTCAAGGTGCTGCCCTGTCACCCTATCTTATATAAGAGCCTTTCCTGTTACTCCCCCTGTTCGACATTTTGAGTATGCTGATGATATCACCCTTTCTGTTTCCGTATCTAACCAATCTGAATGGTTAAATATAACACAAACCTATCCCACCTCGTTTCATATTCCACTTTTTCCGGGCTTAATCTTAACCCTGAAAATGCCTTGAATGTATTTTTCACTCTAAACCGTTCCCCATCTCCCTCTGACA